CAAAATCTTTACAGTTTTTAATTTTCAAATTTTATTGTGAGAGTCGAAAATTGATTTTAGAATCATCATAGATATGTTTGTTGCCGAAAGTACTCATCATAGAGATTTTCGTTGCCAAAAGTACTTTTCATATGAAGATTTGAGGTGGAGCTTTATTTTGTTTTCATAAAACCTAGGTCTTATAGAAACTTCATCCTTTTCAAAGACGGAAGGAACAATGTATTCATAAGTAGATTGGAGCAGGTGTTCGACGTGTTCCCATGGGAACCATGGTTGACTACAGCACTATTCTAAACAGAAAAAGAAACAAACCCAATTGTATAAAGATCAGATAAGCACTTCTTCAGACCTGCAAAGAGGCAAGACCATGAGAGAGAGAGAGAGAGCTTCTACCATACCTGGATTTGTGTTGAAGAAAGAAGGGAAAATTAGAATGAAGCAACCATCTTCTTCATGGATCTCCTCCAACAAATCTGTAGCCACTGTGGTGGTTCTACTTTCCGTCTTATTACTGATTCTCACAGTTGAATCGAGAGAGATCGCGACTCTGAACAATCACGTCGGTTAGTTCATTTCCCTCTTTAGTTTTTCTGAGAAATCTCATCTTGAAAAACTTTTAAGAATATTAAGAATGTTATTTTTATTGTCCAAGAGTTCACATTTTATTTTTTTTCTCTTTCTGATTTTTACAGATAAAGTTGAGGATTCCATGGACTCATCAGCGACACCATTAGGAAGAGGTGGGGCTTTAACTCCCCCCTCTCCAAAACCCAACGAGAATGGACGCCAAGCACCACCCAGTTCATGAATCACCCCGCAAGGATCTATCACTGTGAGCACACCTTCGTATTATTATGGTTTAATGTAACAAGAATTTGGACAAAAATGGAAAATAAGGAAATATGTAGTTTGAAAAGAATATTGGAGGCTAGAGAATGTACTACATAGATTGGCTGGCAATACATGTCTTTTTATTGGGAGCCGAGGCTATCTTGATTACACTTTATTGCAGGAACCCCACAATATAACAAATTCTTATACCTCAAAACCAACATGTCAGTCATCGGTAAATTGATTGTAAGAGATCCAACACCCAAAAACCGTATATGGTATAATAAATTGGGAAAAAATATGATGAAATCAAGAGAGAAAATGGAAACTCTAATGGCATAACCACACACTATAAACCATAATCAAATCACCACAAATACAACATACGTGGTTCACCAAAAAATTGGGCTACATCCACGGGCAACCTGCGACGAAATGATTCATTATTAATGGGAAAAATTTATGAGTTTGTAGGCTTTGTAGCGATTACCTCATACAGTGGTAAAAACGCTCAAACTAATTTTTCCTACCATAATAATAATATTGATCGACTCCTTGTTTTGTCTCCGTCGACTAACACCATTGCTACAAGAAAATCCCATGAAATCCGGCTCAATACAAGGGCAAAAAAGTTAAGGTTTGTGCAAAACCCTCAATTTCTTTCTTCCCCCAAACTCTTCTATTTTCTCTTTATAAAGAGTTCCCTCTCAAAAACCCCACATTTTTCTCTCTAGAATTGACGTGATGGGTCTCTTTTAAAGTCATTTCTCTTGTGACCAAAATACTCTTGGTTAATTAGAGAAATACCTTAGGGACAAACCGGATGTGATTTTGCATCACCATTCCAACAATCTCTACATTGCCAATGCCTTGTCATTCATATTTGGTTATTCTTTCTAGAAGAATCTAGGTAACTTAGCTTATGTTGTAATCTCTCTAGCCTAATAACCACCATGAGCATGTCTTGCTCATCTTCCTTCGTGTTTGTTCTTCTTATTCAAACTCCACCTTCTGCAACACTTTTATCCTTAAGCTCTTGAGGCCATCTTGCCTTCATACATGCTCTAGGTGAATCATTTCTAACACACCTACAAGCACAATCCATGCTTGATCTCATGTCTTTGAGATCCTTTGCGTAAGTTGTTCCCACCAAGCGTTTCATATATTCAAAAGTTTAATCATACTTGCCCATAGTTTTTAAATTTTGAAGTACCCATTGCACTCGCTTCCAACATTTTCTTCTTAAGCTAAACACAAGCCAATCAAGAAAACCACAAATAAGTGAAATAATAAATTTTATACAGATCATGGCAATAATAACAAATTAACATTAGAGTAATATACAACGCTCTAGTCACATCGGCGTCTCTTTCACCAAACTTTGAATATTGGCCTGAAAAAAATTTATGAGTTGCTTCTGGGTTCATATCCTCTTGTAAAAGTCACAAATCTTCAATTTCTCTATCTTACTGAATATCTTCATCAAAACCCTACTATGTGCCACTGTGATCTTCCATTGCCAAACTATGTATCCCGTGCTGAACTATTCTTTCTTCTACAAAATAAATCTTCCATTGCCAAACTATGTGTCCCTTGTTGAACTTATTTTTCTTCTACAAAATAAAACAAAGGGACATATATATTATTAATACAATATTGTAATAATATATATAGTATTATTATAAATTATATTATAATTTTTGTAATAATCTTACAAATATTATATTTTTATTTTTCTTTATTTTAAAAATATAATTAAGTATTATATGTAAAATAAATTAGAGGGGCATATAGTATATATATAATATTTATTATAATATAATAATATTAAAAATATAATATTAATAGCAATAACCATATAATATAATGTAATTAATATTTCCCTATGATAAGATTGAAAGTAATAATTTTCCATATTAAATGAAATTAGTATCATATCTTATTTTACTCTTCCAAGATTATCACTACCTAACGAACTATAATATTATATTCTAAATTGAAATTGTTGGTTTAAATTTTATAGTTATTTTACCATATTCTTCATTTTTTTTTGTTTCTCATGTATTTCTTGTAGTGCTTTATAAAGACCTTGTTGTAGCAATATATCATGAACTTTTATTTTCCATAGTTTAAAATACTTTTTTCCATCGAACTACTATACTTCAAATTTGTAATTAGCCACTTTCCCAAATTACTCCACGCTTCCCTTGAGCTCTAATACCACATGTGGGGAACCGAGGCTATTTGGATTATCCATGTTGCAGTAAAACCCCCATTATAACAAATCTTATGCCTCGAAACCAACTTGCCAATCACTGGCAAATTGATTCTAAGAAATCTAATACCTAAGAACTATATATCGTGTTATAAATTTTGTAAAACTACGATGAAATCAATAGAAAGAAAAATAGGAACTCTAATAGTGCACCTACACACTACAAATCATAATCAAAGCACCATAAGTACACAATACATGTGGTTCATCCAAAATTGAGATACATCCAAGGGAAACCAGCAAGGAAATGATTCACTATAAATAAAAAAAATTTACAAGTTTATGGGTTTTTTAGAGATTACATCATACAATGGTAAAGAAAGCTCAAATTGATTTTTCCTACCACAACAGCACCATTGATCGACTCATTGCTTTGTCTCTGTCAACTAACAATGTCGCCACAAGGCAATCCTGATGAAATTCAGCTCAATATAAGGGCACAATAATGTTAAGGTTTGTGCAAAATTCACACAACTCTATTACTGGTGTTACCTTTCTGAACATGGCAACTACACTCATAGCCCGTTGATTAGATGCCCCTGCGGCATTCTACTTGATAGTTTGGGTCAAAGGCCCTAAGTGATGTCATATTCAAATAGCTCGTTTAGGGCATTTGACCATTTTCTCGAACTTTATGATACAGCCAAACTATTAGATTTCACATAGGATGGTTGTAAGTAATTATGATCTCCTAATACTAAAAGTAAGTGGTCTCATTGTATACAATCCATTTCAAGAAATGGAGTGATAGGTTTGAAAAATATGACCAGGTTAACTTTGAAAGAAAAGCACCACCTCTGTACGACATGAGAGTGAATGTTGACACTCTTAGCTAAACAAGAAATATGCAAATAGCACTTGCACCACGCTATTTTTTTGAGAAAGCATCAATAATATCTCTTAACTTTCTAAAAAAATAAAAAAATACTCCAAATTTATGCCCATACCCATTTTTTTCTATTTGTTTCATTCCTAGAACTTTTATAAGACCTATTAGGTCCATGAAGGTCTTTAAGGCCCCATGAGTTTTCTTTCCTCCATATTTTTTTTTCTTTCATTTGGGTGCTTCTTGGTGAGCACCTAAATCCACTTGTTTGGGGCCTTTGCAAAGTAACAGATAGTAAAGCCTCCAAACGTATATTTGAGTGCTTCTGGAATTTCCAGAAACACCGAAATAGGTGCTTGGTGGCTTTATGGATTTAATGGTTTCGTGAACTTTTAGGAACTTAATAGGTCTGTCAAGACCCCAAACGACTCCTTTACTGGTTTAGTAAAGGTCTTTATGGACCTAACAGGGACATAAAGCCCACAAGGCTATTACATTGGGGCGCTTATGGGCTTATGTTCGTAAAGGTCGTTGTAAACCTAAACGCGTCAAAGGCCCTAAGTGAGCTTTTAGAGCCCTGAAGCTCCAAGGCTTAGGGCCTTTACAAATCCATTAGGTCCATGAAGTCATTTAAGGGCAAAAAATGGACAAAAAAATGACTATGGGCTTAAATTTAAGAAGGCAAATTTCCTATTTTAAAAAACTTAAGAGATATTATTAATAATAAAATGTATACAATAATTGTTTAAATACCATTTTGAGACTTAAATTTGTTCCTTTCCCTCCCCTGCTTCATTTTGCAGCACTCATAACGGGGCATTTGATTGTGGCTAATGGAAAACCCTCAATTTCTCTATTACATTTCATCCTTTTGATTCCAAATGAAAAAAATGGGGCCCAAGCCAAATCATTGTTGAAGATGAATTAGTCTGTAGATTGTGTTGACCTGGAACTTCTCTTGCATGCAATTCAAAGAAGATTTCATCAGGCTTACTTGCAATATGGGGGTATTCTCATCAGCATAGTTCGAAAAATCGGCCAAGGCAACTAGGACTCGTCCGAAGAACTCGGCCTCGGCCCATAGGTTTGGGCGAGTTAGTAGTACACAATGTTTTTAAATATTCAGTATAATATTACCACAATTTATTGGATGTGTTAGAATGGTGTGTTGGTTAGCTTGTCGGGTAAATTTACCTCATTCTACCCCAAATGAATATACGCATCCCACCCGTGACGATTTTTTAAGACATCAGTTTCCTTGGTGTTCAAGGTTTATTCGAAAAAAAAGGAAGCCGCCCACCAGGAATGGAGCTCAGAACTTCCTTTTATATGCACACTTACCAGCAAGCTTTTTTTTAGTTTGTTAGCAAAAGCGATACTTATAATAAATATAACTATTATTTTTTTTCATTTTTTTTTAACAAAAATTATGAGTTGGACTCGGGTGAGTTTCTCTGACCTGCCCGAGTAGCTCACCTCGGCCAGGTCCTGAGTACCTTGGCCAAATCGATTTTTTTAACATTGCTCATCATAATCTAACTGTATATCGGATTTTCCAATCAGGCGTGATCCAATACCTTGAAGAAAGCAAGAGCATCTCGTGTCTTTTGGTTTAATTATTGAATTAGAGGATCAATTAGTGAAATTGAACTTTTTCGCCCCCTTTTAGAAACTTTGTAATTTTTGAAAAGTGGAATACAACGCTCTATTTCCAACTCAAATTTCACTCTGACAAAGAAAGCTCAAGATCTACGCATTTTATCTTCTCTCTGTGTTGTTTTGTTAGTAGTTAAGGAGAATAAGAAGTTTTGACCACAATGAAGGAGAAATCATGATACTGGTTAAGTAATATCATGTTGTTAAGGTACACCCTCGAGCAATAAAACAAAACTCAAAATTTGCAAAGCCGACTAAAACATTTTCTCAAAAATAGTACCCTCAAATTCAGATTACAAGCACCACAAAATGTGGAGAAATTTTACTTACAATGTCTATCTATGGGTGTGGTTTATATAAGGCACCCCCACCTTAAACCATTAAAGGAAGGC